AACTCGGGACTTGCCAAGCAGGTTCCAGAATCTTCTCGTTCCTCGGTGTTACCAACACTACCGGGATATCCTATATCCACTCGGCAGTACACAGATACCTGACAGTGACAACTTTCCAATACAGAGCATTGATGTGACCCAAGGTTACAGGTTAATCTAAGCCCCAACTTAATAAAGATCCGTTACCATAACGCAAGCCTATTTTTCAAACTTTCGTTGTCCATGGGATTTGAATCCTAGACCTGCTACTTGGAGAGGGTGACGACTTAACCACTTCACTAAGCCGCCACATCTCTATTTATAAGCATATTAAAATTTATTTAATTCATTTTTTATAGAAATATATGCCTCAAAAAGAAACTAAGACTTCAGGTGTATATTTATTTGGTCTTCAACTTAAAGTCTTAGATGAAGCAGAAAATTTAAAAATCATTCAAATATATTGAAGCAAGTTGATGAATGTAGTAATTCTAATCTTACAAAATGGGCTACAAATATTGGAAAATTAATGTTAACTGAATTTAATGAAAAAGTTCCCGAACTATACCATATGAATGACATACCAAAATTAGAAAATTTGTGTTATTCAATTAAAGGACACACTTATGAAATTAATTATGATGACTATGATAAGATTAAAAAAAACAAAAGACTGAATTAATTGTTAAAACACTTGATAAAAGAAAAATTTCAAGAGATTCATATTGAGATTTATATTCTATTGAGTATAATTTACCATCAAAAAAGGCAATATATAAAGAACGTCAAACAATTAATAGAATAATGTCACAACTTGTACCAATATTAACAGTAGATGTAATAACTAAGGAGATTGATATGAACGATGAATCTATATTACAAGAAGCAAAAGATACAATTGGTAAAGGAGTCTATAGAAATATAAAAAAATATTTTACAATATTTAATTCCAGATCTTGTACAAAGAAAAGTTTTAAATCCACAACAAGCAATAGTTAATCTTCATATCTCTGGGGATGGGAGGAATGTTGGGCAACAAATAAAGCATGTAATGCTAACAATAGCTATTTTAGATGATAAAGATACAAAATATCAACCAAGTTATCACTATACACTTGCACTTTATTCTGGTATTGAGGATTATAGAACATTAGCAAATATAACTACTTCAATTCGCAATGATTTAATAGATTTAAAAAATCAAGGGCTAATAATTAATAATATTAAATAGAGCTTTCAATTTTATTTTTCATCTGACTGGAAATTCTTAGCAATATGTTTACATCAGAAAATTTTTTATATAGATACATATCGATATATAGCAAAACATCGATATATATCGATAAGATAAAAACG